ATCTTACTATATATAAAATTCTAATGATGGTGTCGCAGTTTTCCATTGTTGTCGGCGCATTTTTATTGGGTGGAAAATCACGTGGTAGGATCCAGTTTTCCCCCATTCATTTCCATATTGTTTAGGTTGTCATCAGCATAAAATTAACAAAAGTCGTGAAGGTATTGTTTTCCTTTAAATATTTTTGTATCCCTAATTTAAAGTTATTTTTCAGTACTGCTATTATTAGTGAAAATTTTAAATTATGGTTGTGAACTCATCAAATTTGTTTGAACAATATAATGTATTAAGAATATAAATGTTATTTTAAAAAAATGATAATTAAAAAATCACTTCTGTTCACCAAGAGATCTAAATGTTTATAATACTTTGGAAGTGGGAAGTAGAGGAGCAAGAGAGTAAGTAAACAGAAATCCTTTTAGTACATAGATGTTAGGTGAATATCTTTACTTTTAGTAGAAAAACTGTTTTCTGGCAAGAAAAAACAATTATTGCGAAGCAATCATCGGGGTTGGTGAGCGGTAGCGAACAGGGGGCTTTGCCCCCTAGTACTTAATATTTACCATTCTTTTAAAAATGTAAGCTAATTTATTTGCGGTTCTACCAACGAAGGTAAAATATAGGGTCAATCAAAGCTAATCTACAAAAATCTTATATTTCACTGTTATTTTCAATCTGGCTAAAAATGGAGAAAAAAATTTTAATCATGCTTTTGTTTTACTTATCTGTTGAATGAAAACAAAAGTTCAAAATGCCTTACAAATAAAACTTTTAGAAAATTTTTAACCGTGTTTCATTTTGATAATTCTACATCGAAGGTAAATACTTGATCAATCAGGGCTAATATGCGAAAAAAATCGTAAAGTTCACTGCCATTTTTAATAAGAATTAAAAAATAATAAAAAATTCCCGTATTTTTGTTTTACTTCTTTATGGATAAAATAAAGTGCTAAATATATTAGAATTAAAATTTTTAATAAAAATTCAAATAGTGTTTCATATTAGCCTCAACTTCCATGAAAGAAAAACAATGATTGATTTTAGAAATTAAGAGAACGTTTTAAAATAACACTTTTCAATGCAGTAACTAGGGCATGATGCTTGGTTCGATGTTCTTCGTAGCAACTCATGGCCAAAAACGATCGATGCTTTAGGTGCTGTGATGGCTCTGGCGCATTCCAATTCCACAAGACGCAAACGTTTCTAGAGAATAAAGACTAACAAATCATTCTTTTCAAATAAATTCATTTTTTCTTCTTTCACTGTTCACATCCACAACAGGTAAGGGCATCAATATTAATCTCAAATTATTTTGGAATCAAACTATTTTTAAAAATAGTTTTAAGAAAAAAATCGGGATAAGAACATTATTTACTGACAAAAATAGCATAAAATCTTGAATTGCGTCATAGTTTAGAAAACTTATTAATTATAATTTTTTTTATTTGATGAAGTTCAGAAATCCGTTGCTTGCGGGGTAAGTGTTTCTGAAGTTTAAAGGGTAAGTTTCACTGTATATATTAGTCAAAAATAAATAAAAATAAATTAAATTTAAAATAAGAAATAAAAACTGAAATAAATAAACAAAAAGATTTGTGTCATGTTTTATATTTTAATAGTATATACTTTTATTGTCATAACTTGTAATGTAGTTATACCTTAATAAGTTTTGCGAATCAGTAAATTTTATATTTTTAAAAATAATTTGATTCATTAATAAACAGTTGCCTAAATCTCAAATTATATTACTGTATATTATTAAAAAAATTTTTTTAATAAATGATCGTTATTAGCATCCTGCCAAACAAACTTTTATTATCCAATACTCTGCCAGTTAATGTTTAATAATGAATTAACGCATGAGTTAATGAGCCAATAAAGATTTGGATAGTAAAATTGGGATAGAAGTTTATGCTTGTTTTTATTTAATATTCATACAAATTTAATTGATAAATTTTTTCTGATACAGAAAAAGAAAATTTTTTCGACATAATAAATACTGATTAAATCAATGAAATTGAAGTCCCTAAAATGGAGATAAAATAAGATTTTAAGAAATATGAAACACTACGCATAGTTTTGTATTGCTGGCTTGTATTACTGGCCTTAAATGGCAGAATATATTACAGAAATGTGTAGTTAGAAGAAAGTAATGCTATAAATTTTTTAAAAAAATCTAATTAAACTTGATTAACTTTTCAGATATTTTTTAGTTATTAATTAAGATAATGATATTTAGCTTTTTTTTATTGCATATTGTAAGTATATTTTCACTCATGATTTTCACGATGTCAGTATATTTTCATTCCCGAGTAAGACTCACTTTAGTCGAATTTCTTATATTTTTTCGGTGTAAACTGTAACAGAACTCCGACCAACAAGTATAAATCCAGTATTATTTTTTCTAAGACTATAGCTTTGTAAAGGCATACAAAGAGACAATTTTTTTAAACATATTATTTTTGAAGAGATAAAATTGAACTATATGCTGTCTAGTATAGTGGACGCTGGGTGTCTCAAGAGATTAATATCGTGAATTTTCTTTATGTTTCAGTTTTACATTTTTTTATATAAAAATTTTTAGTAGAATTTTTATATTTTTTTTTCTTCTAAAAAATGCAATTAAATGCCTGAAAATAAATAGTTACGCTTAAAAGCAATCGCCCTCCGAATGCCCCTCTTTAAATTTGTACCCCTCCTTTCCTTTTACTAAGACCTAATTATGTCTCATAAGACTTAATAATTCGAAACCTCTTCATAGTGTATTGTGGGAGATTGTTAACTTGAATGAAGAAACTAGAATAAAGACTATACAAGCGAAAACAAACTGACAAGAAGCGCTGAACGGTTTGCATGGTGGTCAAAAAGTTGGCCTTGTACTAGAGAGATCCGGAGTTCGAATCCCTCTTCTGGCATGGGTGTTACATGTCTATCTGTCCTTGGCGCCCATATTTTTTTGTGGAAAAAAAAATAGAATGATGAAACATTTCTTCAATTTTCACAAAATTTGTTTTCTCGAAGAACGAAATGTTGCTCTGAGCATATACTAGGAAACGGTTTCGTCAAAAACGAAGAAAATTTCGCAATAATCGAGTATCCATTTTTTTAGAGTTCATCAAGAGTTGGTCTCGAGCAAAAACATCATGCCAAAATATATTGATATAAGTAATTTATTATGATGGGATGAACAACTAAAAAGTGTTTTTTAATCTAATCTAAAGCCATAGGCAAGGGCAAAAAATAATGATAACTAAAAAAACTGAAATTATTTCAGCTTTATTCATTTTATAAGTCTTTCAGCTTTAGGCGGGTTTTTTTCTTTGTAGTGTTGCTCAGTTTTTATTTATTGATTGTATTGTTTACTCCTGTCCCCCTTAATGAGAACAGGTTTTCAGCTAATAAATGAATAAAATAGAATATTATAAAAGCATTATGAAACTACTAAAAAATATATTATTGTTAAGCATAGCGAAATTCAATTATGATTTTTTTCATGATTTAGTAAATTTCTTCTAACTTAAATGAACTCCACCACTATTAGTTTTCCCCCAAATTCAGGAAAATTTCTTTAAAACTGTCTCAAAAATTGTTTAAAATATAACAGTGGAAATCTTATATTTCGACGTTTTAGGGACTAATAAAAATTGTTGCATGAATTTTTTTTAATGTTTTTGCTAACAGCAAGAGTATAAAAGAGATGATATGAAAGCGATTAATAATGAACTGAAATCAAACCTAATAATGAAAGCGATTTCTTAATAGTATGCTGCTTAATTTTTTCATTCTTTATTGAATATCTATTTACTTATCTGTTTTAAAAGGCTGACTATCTGAAAAGTATCTCTGTACTTGAGAAGTACAATCTGGCTGGCTTTGAAGAAATAGTACGAGCATCTGATATTAATAACTGTAACGAAGTAAGTAGAATTTGGAGATCTTGTACCGACAATTTTAATCTATATATATATATATATATATC